GTACGATCCTAGTCTTCATCTTGGACGAGGGTCTGCAACATCTTTGGTCTGATTTTTTGTAGTATTCAGTGCTCAAATCAACGTTTGACCTGTTTCTCTTCCGAGATCCAAAAACAGCGTTGAAGGTGAGCGCTAGAACGGCAACGACAAGCAAGAGCCAGATTCTCATTTGGAGATGGCTTTGATACGATAGTTGCTTTGGTAATTCTGAATATGCCAAAAGGTAAGCTAAGATGAAGGACTGGAGTTCAGCTTTGATTGGATCGAATCTGCCATTTTTATAAGCAGGAACTTGGGGTCATAATATATTCTCAAACGCTTGTTGCGATAGAGAAACGTCTCTCATTAAGTCAGCAGAGCCGCTGTAATTTGTCGCATATTTTTGATGTGAAAACATCTTTGACACATATTTGCAGCGGTAGAGATAGTTGGATATAACCCCGTGGAGATATCGCTGAAGCAGGGCTATTTACTCTACCCATTCACAGATAGCGGTTAAAACAGACGGGCTTTTCGCTTACTCCTGTTCTCCACTAGAAGGGCGACTGCAGGTGAGGTGGTCCTTCGGCCCTTTTAACTATTTTCTTATCAGGGATATTGGAAAATTTGGCTTGCTGACAGAAGTACAAGAATTAGCAGATATTGCGGATGTTCTAGAAATTACTGTAGTCATCAGAGGCAAAATCGCAGCGGCGGAAAGCACGCCACGAACGGCATGACAGGGCTTCCGAGTGCCTGAAAAGCCTCTCCGGTTCTCAGACACGCCCACTGCGGACATGTGGAAGGGAAAACGACGGCAATGTTTTTGAAATATTCGTTACCGACATCGTTCATTCTTCTTTTCAAATGCAGAGTCATCGGAACAAGCAACTACCTTTCGCTTTCAGTTTTTCTGATCTCTTAATTAGCTTCGCCGGAGGGCTTTGTCATCCACTCCCAAAGTCAACGGGCGACAAGGTGGACCATTTTTTCGGGTTTTGACCGTTTCCCTTTTTTCATATACAAATCACTTGGTACAATCTGTGGTGCAATCTGTTGCAGTAACCTTCAGCTAGGTATAGGAAAGTAGTTCTTCATCAAATCTAACATCAATTAAGAATGAGCAACTACTGCATAAAAGTGGATATGCGTGTCGCTACGCTAGTTTTTGGATGCGCAAACGTAATACCTAACCCCAAAAACGCTCATGTTGGTCATTAGGTCAGGTGCCACGTTCGATTTTGCGGCGCAACATGTGAGTGACGCCATCGAGAAGACATGTGGGACGACAGATGCAGCGATGGATTCACAGCAGTAGGGACGGCCGGGGACCTCGTGAGCTTCTGTCGGGTGAACGAGGCCTGTATATCTGGTCGGCGCGTTTCCGCTCGAAGTGGTAAAACTTGACTTTTGCTGAGCGAACTACATCTTTTTTTGCATGGGGAAGAGCGGTGACTGCGGTTCACGACGTTCGAAAACCATCATTGATGTTCATGTATTGCTGGGTTTGTCGTCTGATTTGGTATATGAGGCGTATACGAAGCCGATGTTAAGGTTAGTTCGCTTTATTTAAATGACTTGAATAGAGCAGAAACGAAAGGTATGTGAATTGATCCATTGTGTTCAGTTCCGAGTTTGGGCACGACCAGAGGCAAAAGAGATGACAAGATATGCTCTGGATGCTGGCATCAAATGCCTTGAGTTGATGGGATTGATTGGTCGGCAGCAAGTCCTCTGAAAAGCTAAGGTGTTGGTGCGCAAGGGGCTAGACCACGAAGAATACTAGGACATGAAATTCTTCTCTTCGTTGAATTGGTTCTTTCCTTCGCTGAGAGATGAGGAGTCGCGCAAGTATTTTTGCTACAAAGGAAGAGCTCACCTCAAGGAAGCTTCTACAGTTAATTGCACTAAACTACTGTACGTTTCCATCCACTCATCAGATATCAAACGAACATACTAATATAATCATACAACTAATATCCAATAATATCAATAGTAATAAATGTGGTGGCGGAATTTTTTGTAACAATACTTACTTAATTGCATAGAATATCATAAATTTTGGCAGACACTGCTTCGTTATTCTCAGGTTGTGAATGCTAATTTAAATGTTCATTTCAGACATGGGCTGCGGATCCCTGATGCCGTCACGGGAGCGATTGGGCGAACTGGGGTCTGCGTTTGGACTCGGTTAGGCCGTATCCCGGGGTCTGAGTGATAGTAGGAGTTGTTATGATGGTATTTAATTTTTAAGGCCCGCTTGGTTGGCAAAGCAAATCCCCTGAAGGAGGTATCTCCTTTCAGAAGGAGGGTTCGTCTGTGTGGCAGCAACACACAAGTAGCGCTTCAAGTGATCTGGTCTATAGACGTAGTTTGTTCTGTAACTGGTAGCTCTAATTAGAAACTGATAAAATACAACTGTAGCAGGCTAATTATTTCATTGGCAGAGAAGATTTTACGTCTTGTGAAAGCCGTCGTCACTTGTGGTGCATGGTCTGCACGCGACGTTCTTCTCTTTAGGCAGGGTGGCAGGGTTTTCGTGCACATAAGTGGTGGCACTTTCGCGACCCAGAAAAAAATCCGACAGATGCGCTAAGTTCCTGACTTGACTGTAGCAGCTGCGTCCATTTTTACTCATTTACAGTATTAGCAGGGGTTTTTTCTGCTCTCTCTCTCATAGCGGCGCTGTACCTCTCCGTTTCATGGTTGGGGTCACAATAAAATACAAACCTCAGTTTGAATGTTGACTATGGCCCTCTCTGCTTTTCACTTCACTAACAGTTCTCTTCGCGCCTCTTATTCCAATTTCTAGCGAGATAACATTCCGAATTCATCGCTACCCGCGCCTTCAGGTACGCCGGACACGTGAGGCAACCTATGGTTAACGTAGGAGTTTATGGGATCTTGCGGGGCTGAGTTTACGATAGATGAACTTTCGTTAGAGAAGCATGAGAAGACTACAGTATAGATTTTGGTTTCTGAAAATGTTCGAAGAGAATAGATGAGTTTTTCGAAGAGTCTTAAAAAAACGTGTGGTACCATTTTTGTGCTTGAAAAGAGAACTCACCATTTCTCTTACCTGAAAGGCTGGGACCTTGCATCGATTGCCACTGAGCAGCTGAGCCTTTCTCAAGCTCAGGATGTGTGCGGCGATGAAGAGCATTTGGCAACGACACCTACCTTAAAGGCAAAGTTCGGGCTCAGACCCACCTAAGAAGCCCTTACCATGGCTAGAAGTGCTGGGTGCAAAGGTAGCGCCACCTTTCTACATCGAAACGCGTCACTAGGACCCTAGGCGCCATGGACTTCTAACAGACTCCACCAAACTTAACATGGTCCGCCCACCGTTCGATATCTTGTCTGCGTCGCCACGTTGATCTGCTATGCTCTCTCTTCTCGGACTTCTCTACCGCTCTCCGCGCTCACATTATCTCTCATCTCCCTGCCTGTCTTTTGAACTTCTCCACAGCATAGAGCAAAATGCTCGTATTTCCTGTGTATTTCAGGATTTTCTTTTTTCTCCACTGGCGGTCCACCTCCCATCCCTACTTTCACATTTGAGTGGAATCACCCCATCAATTTAATCCTGATTCTTGCCTTTAAGGAGGAAGGACGAGGCTCAATCAATCAGTCATTTGAAAAGTATGGCTCAACCCCCTAAAACCAAATGGTGACCTTGAAGAGTTCTTAGTCAGCATAAGAGATGCCATTATGATCTGAATACTGAAGTCACGGGTCGGGATCGAATTAGTGTGTTATTTTGTTCTAAAGTTTGATAAATAGTGCGGCGATGTCAACGGGAAGAAAAAGCAAGAAGCGTCAGAAAACAGCGAATATTTTCTTGTGACATAAGCCGTGGAGGTATGACGGAGAGACACAGCGCTGCGAGGAGAGGGAAAACGCGAGAGAGCACGTCGTACGCGAGAGGGCGCAGACGCCACGTATGCCGCGATTGATAAGGATGGCAGCACGGCAGCACACAAGGCAAGCCTTAGCGCCGTTGCCTCCCTTTTTTGAGTCGACACATTGTCGCGACTGCTGCGTCTGAGGACCCCTCTTTCTCGCTCCTAAGGTTCGACTTCTTGGCACCTGATCCCGGCCTGTGGCTTTAGGTTTCATGATTTCAGAGAAACCTCATTGCTATACGATGAAAAATTCTATGGACCTCTGAACAAGGAGAGAGTTGCAGAAGTTGTTGCTCATGAGCTCGCACATCAGGTTTTGCTCTTTTTCTATTTTCCTTTTTTTCTTAACTTCGAAAAGTTTCCCAGATTTACATTAAAGCTGCTGCGCTAGCTGAGGATATATTCCTCTGCGGCAGCTGAACAATTGTGCTTTCATGAGGAACAATTGAAATATCTATTCGAAAAAGGATTCATTACTAAGCAAAATATTCCCGTAGCCTTGTTTTTTTTTCTCACACTTGGTGTTCTCTTTCTACTACAGAGCTCTCGATTGGCAAAATTGTAATTTAGAAACAACTTGGGGGGAAGACGGGCTTCTATGTATTTACTCAATGAATAATTTTGTTCCAGTGGTTCGGCAACTTGGTCACACTGAAATGGTGGGATAATTTATGGTTGAACGAAGGCTTTGCGGCATTTGTGGAATACAGTGGAGCAGATGAAATCAGCGACCATAATATGAGAATGGTGAGATATTTTAGTACAGCTTTTTCGACCTCCTCGACGAGGTGGTATATGAAGCATGGACCAGTCAACATCCGCATATTTCAGATGGACTTCTTCCTAATTAGAGCATATGCAAGAGGTTTGGCGGCTGACGCAGTAGCCTCAAGCCATCCGCTTTCCTTCAAAATCGAAAAGGCTGAAGAAGTGTCGGAAGCCTTTGATGATATCACCTACAGTAAAGGAGCATCGGTTCTCACAATGCTATCGGCCACAGTTGGAGAGGACAACTTCAAAAAAGCAATTACTGTGAGTTGGTCACCCATCTACATTGTTCTTATTACCACAGATTCCTATAATAAAGACGCTCCGCAATTAAACAGGTAAGAACTTTTGCGTTTGGAAATAATCGTAACCTCCCCTTCAAAAGCGAGAAAGTGGCAGACCAAACACCACAACTGACGACGGCCTCCAAGTAAATCTGGTTAGAAGTTGTTCATAGTGATAGCTGATTTCTGGTAAATGATAGTTGTAATTAGTGACAATCGATAGAATACAACTGCAACAGGCTAATCAATCATTTCATTGGCAGAAAACATTAACATTTTGTGAAGGCCGTCGTCACTTGTGGTGCATGGTCTGCACCCGACACTTTCTCGCTTTTTGAAGGGGAGGGTAGCTGTGCTGACTAGTCCTCCAATAATGGAGGAAAGCAAAAAATCTGGCAGGAACTCCCAAACTCACATCGCGATTTGATCGTTCGGACGTGGTCTGCGCCCTGCCCTGCGAGAATCTTGTTGGTTGGCCGTTTCTCTGATAGTGAGAGACGGCAAGCTACGATAAATAGATGGGAATCGGTGAGGGCTATGAGGGCTACCCGTTGTAGTTGCAGTGCACTGATAGATGTCGGATGTGCTACAGTAATTCTTTTACCACGATGCCAAATCACTACAGTCGCGTCTTCACTCGTCCGCGTCTCTGTGATCTTGCCGGTCTTCCGCTGCAACGCAAACTCCGCCCACACGATTGGTGCTCAGTGCGGTTTTGGTGATCATTATAAGCATTTCCTCATTCTTTTCGATAAATGGTACCCCCATTCACCGTAGATGCTTCCATTTCTGGTGCGAAAACCTACACCTACTCACAAAATTGACTCTGCATTCAAATCGAGAGATCTGTCACGGTGTCTTTATAGTGAATTGTCCACTGTCATGAGCAGCCGTAGTATCTTATTCAATATTTTGGGTAATTATAATTATGATTAGATAAAGTACACGATGTTTCAGCACTACCTCAAGAAATTTTCATACGGAAACGCACGAGCTAAAGACCTATGGCAAGCATTTGACGAAACCGTTACGGATGTCACGGGTCCCAAAGGCGGGCCTATAAAAATTACTGAATTTGCTCCTCAGTGGACGACCCAGGTTCGTTGATAAAAACACCCGTTGCATAGTTCAGCGGTTTCAGAGCTTCAAAGCTCGCTTATGTGTTTCAGATGGGATTCCCAATGGTAACTGTTAAAGCTCTCAATGACACCACTGTGAAAATCACGCAGGAGCGCTACAAAGCGAATAAGAATGCCGTGGAGCCGGAGAAGTATCGTCATCCAAAATATGGGTAAGGATTTGTTGCTATTTTGCTCGCGTTTTTGCAAAATATAGCATAATCTACAGCTTTTTAAAAGGAAATGGAATCTATTCTTTAGATACTGCAATAGACTGGCAGGAAATCAAGAACACGTCATGGTTCAAATTTGATATTTAATTTTCTTCATCTTCATTTATTCGAAGATTTTAAAGGAATCCTTCGCGGAAAATTCTTGCATTCTTTCTTGACATGAATGTGTCAGTTGTGATCACTGGAAACAGCACACAAAGTTTCACGCATGAAGATTCGGTTTCCGAAGAGAAACAAACGTACAAAAACTACACGTTATGGACATCGAAGGTAATTCGGGCGGAGCCAGGCGAGGCATGGAAAGAAGTTGGCCTTTGGCCGGCTACGTACCAGGCGACGCAATGAGAGAATCGGGTTAAAGCGCGCGATTTCGGAGAGTAGAGACAAATCGATCGATAGAATAGGATGGAGTAGAAGTGTAAGATGTGAATGCAATAAAGCAGAAGGCCAGAAAGAGTTTCTAGTGAAGGCACTCCAAGAACCAAGTGGAAGCATCCCCGTCGCCAGCATTTGTTAACACCTTGGAGCCCACGCAGCCCATATGTGGGCTGCAGTCCTCCGACCGCATAGGACCTTTCAGCTCGCATTTCGTAAACAATTATTAGGTTTTTCATTCATTTTCTTTTCCATTTTATCCGATAAGATTTCTTCTGCATTATACAGTGGGTTCTTCTTTTGAATTTGCTAGATAAGATCCCTAAAAATTTCACCGAAGTCCCGCGCGGCCGCGGAACGTAAAACACGCGCGGTCTCCAAAGTGTTAAAGACGTCCGTGGGCAATTTGAACGCGTAGCAGCCCTTTCGATTTTTCGAATTTCTAATCAAAACAAAAGCAATATTTCTGTTCTTTTCATTCTTATCGTGGATAATGAGTCTCAAGCCAGTGATTTATGGCTGAAATAGAATCATGATTTTTCCGTGAAGGATTCCTTTAACGTATTGTTTACTAGATGTTACAATTAGTGACCAAGCGTTATGGTTCTTTGACTACAAAAGTTGCAAAGATTCTCAATATTGGTTTACGGGCTAAATTCAAAACTTTCCTCACCTCCTAAAACAATAATAAATAAAATAATAAATTCAGTTGGACTCGGATGAATGGATTTAATATTTCAGATTCAAGTGGGATATTCCTCTATGGTATCAGGAAGGCAGTGAAAAGGAAGTGAAACGAGCCTGGCTATCTAGAGGTAGGCAAAATCGTTTTGAACCCGTCGTAGTAAGGAAATTTTGAAATAGAAATGGTATGTGAGCTAAACTCACTACGAGTGCCCATTGACCTAGGGTAACCGAATCTGAATTCAAGTGTCATGTACAAAAAAGGTCGAAACGTTTATCTGATAACTGGTTGAATTGAAGTGAACTTCACAAGGGAAGTCCTCTAGGGTGTGCGCGTTATCAGAAAGGTTCCCTACATGCTATAGGACAGGGTCAACCCTACGTTGTTACGAGTAACAACGGGGGGGTCGTACCTGGTTGAGTTTGTAGGAGGGGGTCGTACCCACTTTAGTCGCTCGAAATCACGTTTGAGGTGAAACTGAAGTTTTTATGGGTAGGTAGGCTGGGTGAGGGGGCGCAGGAAAAATTTGCCGTTTCAGCGCGCGTATACCCCCCCCCCGCTCGACGGCATTTTTGGAGGAAAAAGTGGGCGGAGTTTGGTGGGTTGAGTGGTATCAGAATTAAATACTATAGAGAGGATGATGGTGGTCGAGGTGTGGAAAAGAAAAGGGGGTCGTATCAAGTCCACCTTGGGGGAGGGGGTCGTAAAAAATTTTCAAAAAGTAACAACGATAGGGTGACCCTGCTGTGGGGGCTTTCATGAACTTCAAAACTTAGGTTCATTTTCGCCTGTGCGACCCCACTGCTCAGAGTGGGTGATATTGGGCTCTGAATTGATTTATGGAATTTCTACGACAGTTCACCGGTCCAGGGGCGGAAGTGGTGAAGTGGCAAGTGGCAAACTTACCACTTCACCACTTCCGCCCCTGGGACTTACCACGCGAGCGGTCCAAGGATCAAATCCTGGGTCGTGAGTCGCCCGGGCCAACCAAGCCTTCCATCCCTCCGGGTCGGTTAATTGGTACCAGACTTGTCTGGGAGGATAAAAAAAGAAACACTGAACATTCCAAAAAGGGGATTGATCAACGGCAAATGCTTTATCCTTTATCCTTCAATTTACCGGTTCTAATATTGGGCACCACACTTATTACTGGCGCTGGCGCTATTTTCAAGCTCCAATTAAAGGATCATTTTATTACGCGAAATTGAACCTTGGGTCATTTCCTTAACCAGCCTTTGCCCCTCACGGGATCGCTCGGCGAAAATGGACATCGGTTTTGTGTCCACGCATGAGCTCCTACAAAATGCAGAAAACCGTTTTGAGAAAGCGCTCGATACCCTGAAAGACCTCCCTAAATAGCACGGCTTCGCGTTCCGCGATCTTTCGAATGGCTACTTGTATGCACGGATGTTGTGGCTTCAAAACCGTGCCGTTCTGGTGATCATGTACTTTTCCGTGGACTTTCTGCAGAAGAAATGGCGGCTAGGTCAACACTAGTACTCAGCTGCCCATGTAATGTGAGTATAAGTGTGAATAGAGCCAAAGTAAGTGACCTCTTCAAAAAGGTAGATTACTCCACATTATTATTCGGCCACTTTCCATCAAATACACTGTAGTACACAAAACGGAGGCCACC